GTCATGCACAAGATGAGGGGTGCTTTCTTCTTCCTTCTGCAGACTGAAGATGGCGATCTGTTCAAGGTTACCATCGATATGGTGGAGGATGACAGCGGACAACTGACTGGCGAGGTTAAAAGGTTGAAGATCAAATATTTTGATACAGTCCCTATCGCATCCAATCTGTTGATTCTAAAGAGTGGTTTCCTTTACGTTGCCAGTGAAGCAGGAAACCATCACTTCTACCAATTCGAGAAGCTGGGAGACGACGACGAAGAGACTGAATTCAGCAGTGAAAACTTTCCTGCGGATCCCTCTGTTCCCTATGAGCCGGTGTTCTTCCGACCGAGAGGAGCGGAGAACCTCAACCTCGTCGAGACACTCAACTCTCTCAACCCTTTGATCGATAGTAAGATTGTGAATCTTAACGAGGACGATGCTCCTCAAATTTACACTGTGTCCGGCACTGGCGCCCGGAGCAGCTTCAGGACCCTCAAGCACGGTCTGGAAGTGTCTGAGATCGTGGAATCGGAGCTCCCCAGTGTACCTTCTGCTGTTTGGACTACCAAGTTGACTCGTGCCGATGAGTTTGACGCTTACATTATTCTTTCTTTCGCAAACGGTACTTTGGTTCTCAGCATCGGTGAGACAGTCGAAGAAGTTACCGATACCGGCTTTCTTTCCACTGCACCTACTTTGGCTGTTCAGCAGCTCGGTGAGGATTCGCTGATTCAGGTTCACCCGAGGGGCATTCGCCATATCCTTGCAGACCGGCGTGTCAATGAGTGGCCTGCTCCTCAACATCGTTCGATCGTCGCCGCTGCGACAAATGAGCGTCAGGTAGCGGTTGCCCTCAGCTCAGGTGAAATCGTGTACTTCGAGATGGATGCCGATGGAACGCTCGCTGAATACGATGAGAGACGCCAGATGTCTGGTACAGTAACATGCCTCAGTTTAGGCGAGGTGCCTGAAGGGCGTGTGAGAAGTTCTTTCTTGGCTGTCGGATGTGACGACTCTACTGTCCGCATTCTGAGCTTGGATCCCGACTCGACCTTGGAGAATAAGTCAGTCCAGGCTCTTACCTCGGCTCCATCAGCGTTGAACATCATGTCAATGGCCGATTCAAGCTCAGGAGGTACGACACTGTACTTGCACATTGGCCTCTACTCCGGTGTTTACCTCCGAACTGTTCTCGACGAGGTGACTGGTGAGCTTTCCGATACTCGTACCCGTTTCCTGGGAGCCAAGCAAGTCAAGCTATTCCGTGTTTCTGTGAAGGGACAAACGGCCGTTCTCGCGCTCAGCTCCCGACCATGGCTGGGCTACTCCGACATCCAGACAAAAGGTTTCATGCTCACCCCGTTGGATTACGTGGGCTTGGAATGGGGCTGGAATTTCTCCAGTGAGCAGTGTGTTGAAGGCATGGTTGGTATCCAGGCACAGAATCTTCGGTATGTTCATCCCTCTTCACTCCCTTGCTCACTTCTCCTTCGTGATCGTATGATGAGAACTTTAATCCGAAAAGTTCATGTGGATCATCTCTTCTAAAGTTTATATCTCCAATTGTTCCTACTGAGATCACTGCAACATACACATTCCGAAAGTCAAACAATGTCTTACTTGATACATTTGACTAACTCGTTCACGCGACGACAGGATTTTCTCTATCGAGAAGTTGGACAACAACATACTGCAGGAGTCAATTCCTCTTTCAAACACGCCCCGTCGTATGCTTAAGCATCCAGAACAGCCATTGTTCTATGTTATTGAGTCCGACAACAATGTCCTATCGCCGGCTACGAGAGCCAGGTTGATCGAAGATTCCAAGGCGCGTAATGGCGAGACAAACGTTCTTCCGCCCGAAGATTTCGGCTATCCACGGGCTACAGGTCACTGGGCGTCTTGCATTCAAATCGTCGATCCACTGGATGCCAAAGCCGTGATTTCGACGATTGAACTCGAGGAGAACGAGGCCGCCGTCAGCATGGCAGCGGTACCCTTCTCTAGCCAGGACGATGAAACCTTCCTGGTGGTGGGAACAGCCAAGGATATGATTGTCAATCCTCCCTCATCAGCGGGAGGTTTCATCCACATTTACAGGTTCCAAGAAGATGGGAAGGAGCTGGAGTTCATTCACAAGACGAAGGTTGAAGAGCCACCTCTTGCTCTCCTCGGATTCCAGGGACGTCTTCTTGCCGGCATCGGCTCTACCCTTCGGGTCTATGACCTGGGAATGAAACAGCTGCTCCGGAAATGTCAGGCTCCCGTGGTGTCGAAGACGATTGTTGGGCTCCAGACACAAGGTAGCCGGATTATTGTCAGCGACGTTCGCGAAAGCGTGACGTATGTCGTATACAAGTACCAGGAGAACGTCTTGATTCCTTTCGTTGATGATTCCGTCTCTCGCTGGACGACGAGCACCACCATGGTAGACTACGAGACTGTTGCCGGTGGTGACAAATTTGGTAACCTCTGGCTCGTGCGCTGTCCTAAGAAGGTCTCGGAGGAGGCGGATGAGGATGGATCGGGAGCCCATCTGATTCATGAGCGCGGTTACCTGCATGGCACACCGAATCGCCTGGACCTGATGATCCACACCTACACACAGGATATTCCGACCAGCTTGCACAAGACACAACTCGTGGCAGGTGGACGGGACATCCTTGTGTGGACCGGGTTTCAGGGTACAATTGGCATGCTTGTGCCTTTTGTGAGCCGCGAGGATGTGGACTTTTTCCAGAACCTAGAGATGCAACTAGCATCACAGTGCCCACCCCTCGCTGGACGGGATCATCTCATCTATCGCAGCTATTATGCACCAGTCAAAGGTGTGATTGATGGAGATTTGTGCGAAATGTATTTCTTACTGCCTAATGACACGAAGATGATGATTGCAGCGGAACTGGATCGTTCCGTTAGGGAGATTGAGCGGAAGATCTCGGTAAGTCAACCATTCCCCACGTTATCTCTGGGATTGTGCCACTAACGATATACATAGGATATGCGAACGAGGGTGGCGTACTAATAATTCTGATGGCAATTCCGGCGTCTGTGTGCGAGGGTCTATAGATACCCAATGACGATCATGCTAGATAAGCATATGTACAGGTTTTATATCAGTCTTCCGGTTCCCAAGCATACATGCAATCTGTAGGCGGATGTCTCTTGCCTCGCTCGGTCTTCTGCTTCACTCGGTTGATCTTGAGCTGGATGCAGGCTGCGCTCTCATGTGCAGGTCTGTATGAGACAAGAATGAGGTTCTGCCCTCGACGATCTTTGAGTACGGTTTTATCCGGTATGCACCACGGATATTGAATCGTAATTTATCAGTCGGGACACTCGTAGCTCTTATTCATAATGACAATAACATCTTTGCCATATTCGATATCTGTCTCATCCCGTAGTATCCTATAATCCGGCGCTGTGCAATCTTAAAGCAGCAAAATAGATGAATGTAGCTCGCGCACGCTGATTGGCTGCTGCCCCTCATACTCTCCTCAATGCTTCTCTATCACTCGGGCATGGCTTGAGCTGTTCCATACTTGGTCATCCTCTCCTCTTCTTTCCAGCAAAGTAAATCACCGCTGATTTAAACATCGTCCGATAGAATCAAACATACATCATGTCTGCCCAACCATCCACCGAACAGCCCTGGCACGCCGCCTTCCCAGCACCCCGCAACACGGCCCGCAGCATCTCCCGAGAAGAAATGCTCCAGTGGATGCGCGAGGGCAAGCAGGCGGGAAAGGACTACGTACTTGTTGATCTGCGTCGGAATGACCACGAAGTCAGTGCTTGCCGTCTTTGCCACTGGAGCTGTAATTGTAATTGTACTGACCATAACTCAGGGAGGAACAATCAAGGGCTCGCTGAACCTGCCGGCTCAGAGCTTGTATTATTCTCTGCCGACGGTGTATAATCTTCTCCGGGCGGGAGGGGTGAAGTACATTATTTGGTATTGCGGTATGTGGTTTTGGTTTGGTCTTTGCAGGACCTGACGTGCTGTGCTTGGCTCTTGTGGATTGATTGATTGCTCATGCTGATATAGGCTCTTCGGCCGGGAGGGGAACTCGAGCTGCGAATTGGTTTGCGGATTACCTTGAAGATCAGCAAGATGGGTCGATTGAGAGCTTGGTGCTGCAGGGTGGGATTAAGGGGTGGGTTGGGGCAGGGGAGGAGTATAGGGAGTTGATGGAGGGGTTTGATGCACAGGTTTGGCAGAACAATGGGATTGAGTTGAAGTGAGGCAGAGGTAAGCTTGTGGAATTCAGATGGGTATATATGTATGTAGATAGAACGATACTATGGGATACCTTGGTCCATAATGCGGGCGGCCCAGAGACAGTTTTCATCCTGGGAACGGGGCGCGATGACTTGGGAATCTCTTCCTTGGTCATGGTCATGTTTTCAAGACATTAGAGGGAGCCAGGCCTGGTCATCGCACTGGAGCTATGAAGGTAGTAGGCATTACCGGAGAATCAGCAAACTGGACGACCATTATGAGATCGAATGTAGTCAAGTGAGAGACGAGTCAATGGCTCTGCGACGATGCCCGAATTGTATTTCTGACCCGTCATTTTAAGTAGCACCTCAGAACGAGCTGCAATTTCACACCTTAGTCTTCGTAAGGCCACCAGATACAAGAGACATTATATAAGAAGACAACTCGACCGTTGGTGTCTGTTTCTGGCGCACGATATCTTATCCGAGATGGTTGCGATGTGGGGTCAAGAGCTTGCTGCCATAAAAGGCAGGTCGACCCTCGATAATCAAGCATCAGCCAGGATGCTCAGCTCTAGTACAGAGACATACAAGGACTCAAATCCATCCGTTCTAATTAGCTGAAACGTCCGAGTCGCCGAGATTGAACATGCAGCAGCATCAAATGGCCTGATAGGATTGCCCTCGCTAGTTGCATGCTTGAACCGCAGCTACTTCGACTTGACAGCCTGATAAACTGCGTGTTTCCGCTGCAATCTAGTTCCGCCCCTAGCACCGACCCAATATCAGCTCTCATCATGGCGTTCGCTCAAGCTATACTCTCCAACCCTGCTATTCCGATTGAAGATCGGCAACAAGCGCTCGACCGTGCTTTTTCCGACCCCGGTCTACCTTCAGCTCACCCGACTTCTTCTTTCTGGCTCAGAACTCCACATCCCGAAATTGCCCAGGCGCAGTCGGCTGAGCTGCCATCTGAAGCAGAAGTAGTCATCATCGGTTCTGGAGTGACTGGGACTTCGATTGCAAGAACTCTGTTGAAGTACCGCAAGCCTGGGAAGGAGACCAAGCCCCGACCGGCTGTTGTTATCTTGGAAGCGCGTGATGTCTGTAGTGGTGCCACCGGCCGCAACGGCGGTCATATCATTGAAACAGCGGAAGAATTTGCAGAGATCGAAGCATCACATGGCCTTGAAGCGGCCATGAAGATCGTGAAGTTTCGAATGGCTCATCTGCAGGAGATCCTGAAGACCGCTGATGAGTATGGACTGACGGAGGAGACTCAAGTGAGAAAAGTTCAGTTTCTATGTGTATTTTTTGATGAGAGAGGCTGGAAGGGGGCTTTATCTCGCCTGCAGCGTTTGAAAGAGTGTTTGCCCGATGAAACCGTCGAGTGGAGAGCATATGAGAGAAATGAGATTCCAAAGGTGAGTTGCAGATTGTCTTTCACTCAGTAGGCTCATCTGAATTTGTATTTCCTGAAATGTGCAGGAATTCTGCCTCCCTCATGCTCGAGGTATCGTGGCTGGTCCGGCTGGTGCTATCTGGCCTTACCGACTTATCACTGGCATCTACTCGCGGCGCGAATTCCCCCGGGATCTGCTAATTGAATCCAATACACCGGTGACAGCTATCCGTGATGCTACATCTGAAGAGGCTACTTCGTTGCGGTATGCGATTGAAACAACCAGAGGCACGATCCGCGCTCGTCACGTCATACACTGTACCAACGCTCACGTTGGCCATCTTGTTCCCGGATTGAGAGGCCGTATTTACCCAGTCCGAGGTCAAATGTCTGCGCAGGCACCGGGAAGCAAGTTCCGCAATCAGGGAACCGAGCATTCTTGGATCTTTGTTTATGAACGGGGATTCGACTACCTAACTCAGCTACCACCGTCCGAGGCAGGCGAGATGATGATGTTCGGAGGCGGATTGGCTCAAGGCGAGCTCGCTGGTGTTGGTGATTTTGGGGTTTCCACCGACTCAGAGCTGAGCCTGTACGCTGATATCCATCTCTCTGGCGCGTTGAGTGCGATCTTCGGTCGCGAGAACTGGGGCAGCGTCCCGGGTTCCAGTGTGGAGGAGATGTGGACAGGAAATATGGGTTTCAGCGCAGACGGCTTCCCATGGGTAGGGCAACTTCCCGTGTCTCTGACGGGAAGGGAACAGAAAGAGAAAGGCCAAGGAGCTGAATGGGTCTCTGCAGGATTTTCAGGGGAGGGAATGGTGAATGCATGGCTGTGCGGAAAAGCTCTGGGAATAATGTTGCTGGCTCATGACGATGAACTGCTCGAGACAGAATCCGCAGACCTCTCCTGGTTTCCAGAGCAGATGCTGGTGACGGAGAAGAGGATCAGGGACTCTGTTCTACCTCGTGATATCAATGGGATATCGTCTTATTTGTAGTTAACCAGGTAGTGCAAAGATATGGCTGTCTAAGAATAGAGAGAGGTGAGAGGTAGTTACAGTCAGTCATGTCCTGCAAGCTATTTTTCTGTTTATGGGACAACTTGCATTCCTTTGCCATGTCAATCTCTTATTTACCAATGCATCCACCCAGTAAGCCATCTTTTCCAGTTCTTCCTGTCTCCCATGGCGAGCAATCACCGCATTCGTGCGTACAATCGGACTTTCCCATCTTCTTCGCTTCTTGTGATCTGAGGCTATCCTAAACCCAATCGTCCAAAAGAACAATGCTCTTATGAGCTTTTCTGCAACGGCAGGTCGTAAGGTTTATCCTTCCCGCGTCCCGGTCAGCGGTTTTTTAAACTACTGTGGGGGACCAGCGCTTCAGCACCTATCATCTATGCACCCTTCGCGCTCACGAGTGCATGCTAACTCCAAATCGCCGAACTCATCTGGGATGGTGAGAAGATTACATCTCTATTCATGTCAATGCAAACTAATATTGTTGGTCTTGCAGTTGGACCTGCAAATCTAAACGTCGCAAATGTGATCAGGCCCGCCCTACATGTCATGCTTGCAACAAGCGGGGCCTTGTATGCGAGGGTTACAAGGTACGAGTGCGCTGGGAAACGGGCATTGCATCGCGAGGCCGTTTCGCCGGCGCAGATACGCCAGCAGAATTCTCCGTGCCAGCTCGAGCAAAGGGCCGACGGCGAGATCGAAGTCGAGAAAGACGACAACAATGGACGATACTAACAAGCTCTTCCTTTAAAGAAGCTTCTCCCTTACTTACGGACGAAAGTGCAAAGTGTACTTGATTTTCTTTCCATTGGCGGCATGTGTACCTGTAACACCCTTATGATAGATTCTGAGTCCTGTAAGGTGCCCCCTTGTCTCGGATCCCTGGTAAGAGATCTGATGACGAGCAACTATTTCAAGAACGTGAGGGCAACCTTAAGGACTCCCTTTGATCCCTTCTCTATGCGCCACTGATATGCAAACAGTCCTTTCCTCGGGGGTCAACATTTTGCACTCGACGACACTTCATGATGAGAGTAACCTTTTGAAAACACATCCTTCAAGACTGCCAGGAATCAGAAGCGAAACGTACCTCGAAGACGGCACCATGACTGCTGGTCTACTCTTATGCATCATTGAAGTAAGTTTGCAGAGCGTTTACTTTCCTCGATATAAGACATTGACAAATGCAGGTAATGCATCTACGAGGGATGCACGGCATCCTTCAGCTGGATGATGTTGACAATGCGCGGGATGAAAAGACCCGTTCCGTGCGCATCTCTTTGAGGTCATGGGAATTATGGACCTTCCTACTTTTGCTATTGGCCGCCAGCACCCGCATCTGGTTGCTGGAGACGGCATTGCCGTAACCGGGACTCCTCGGGAGGGTCATCCAGACGGAATGAAGTTGAGGTCGTGAGCGGCTTGCCAAATATTTGATTGACATCTTCTCCTGCATTGGCGAGGGTGGTACGACAGAGGAGAACTTTTGGGATTGGCCTGGTGCCCAAGGAAGCTTCCTCTCTCCCATGGCGGCTGGGACTCAAGCAATACAACAAGGACGGCGGGCATCTTATCGGACACTGGGGACCCGCAATGTCATCCTTGTCGTTCTCTTCTTGTTTCTCTACGAGGAGACCAAGTACTCCAAGGTCGTTGAAGGCGTGAGCGCTTCCGTGGGACTTGCTGGGCATGCTCAGCAGGTCTCCGTGGACAACCTCAAGGCGGATTGCAAGCCCGATCTCGAATATCCTGCGAGTAGGGTGCAGACGAATACGGCAGGCCACCACGAACTCGATCACAAGCACTGGATCTAGCCGAGCATCGGCGGCGCCTTATTTGCCTTCACAGGGGCTACTTTTCGACGCAACGCCATCAGCATCGGAGTTCCCTTTGCTGCCTCGCCTTGGATGCAGCGGAGCGGCCTGGTCAAAATGTTCATCACCTGCCGGTTTATCAGTCTGGCAATCACCATGACCATCATCCCGATGGGATTCGGGTGAGAACCGCAGGTTGGTATCGAAATGGAATTTATTATTTTAAGCCTCTCGTCCTTCCAAACCCAGGTTCGGGGGATCCACCGGACAGAAAGCATGGGGAGACGGGGCCCAACTCCGCCGAGCTGGAAGTCGGCACCTAGCGTGATCGGAAAACCGTCAAGTCTCAGACTCTTATATGGCAGGTGCTTAATCGGAGACGCAGTCGGTGGTCTATACTTCGGCTAAGCGCGGATATAACTGGAGTAGCTCCATAGAGCCAATTCTAGAATTTCGCTCGGTTATCCTCGTCTTTGATCATAGAAAGATAAGAGGTAAAACAGTTCAATTGTTGAAAAGCAGTCAGGAATTGATCCAAGTTATCTAATATTTTCATGTTATTATCAGACGGGAGACAAGAATTAACGTCAATGCGTATTTGACATTTTTATTTAGCCGGTCCCGTGTACCAAGCTAGCTAGTCCGGAAGGCGCATCAAAGGGCGTGCACTGGCAGCCACAAGTCTTGCAAGATGTCAATGAAAGGCGTGCGAACCAAGCAGGAAAAATCTTGGTATTGTATTTGATACTAGTATCAAGGTCCTCATTACAGAGTACAGTCCTATTGAGAAACTTGGGAAAATCATGCGGATGTGAAACAAATAGTGAAGCAAATAATGGAAGACAATCATTGTTGCATGATCATCATACTATATGCTGAACAGACCAGGTTGATCACCATTCTATAGATTCTCTTCTTCTTCTTCAGGTGTCGTCATCCTCTGATGAATTTGTAATCTTCTCCTTCTTTAAGTGAACTTAACTCTTTCAGCAGTACATCAGTGTATCAAGGTATGATAGAATACGAGCAGAGGCGTGTCATTGCAAGGGCGCAGACTGAGCATTAGTCATTGCCTCCAAACTGACCAATCAGGACTGCTTCCCAGTGCAGGTGGATAATGCTTCTTTTTTCTCCCAACTTCTTCTTTTTCCTTCATCAACATGATCCAAGTATAGTTTCGTACTATCTCATCGGCCATCCATCAATCGGGAAGTTGTCTTGAGATCACACGTGCTTTGTGGCTTTCTCTGGCTTATGTTCTCATGATCCAATCATTCTCCTATGGAGTCGGTCAGCCAGATGTCGCAATCCATGGCTGATCGTTTCCCCGTATTGCTGCAGTTCCATACTTCTTCACCTCCAAAGCTAGGTGGGAATTCAAACTTTCTTGATGCAAATGACTCACGAGCTTTCGTCTATGCTTAGCAATCTATGTTATTCTCTATTTGAGTATGCAGATTGGGGGTTTCTCTTCGCTTTTATAAACATGCGTTGTTTCCCTTGCTCCCCGTTGTAATTCCATCTCATCTATTTTCTATACTACGTCTTGTATAGAACTATCAAAGACCCTCAGGGCTCCACTACTGCTCTTTTCCATTACTCAACAGCAATACTTCTGTCACCCCATCCCTGGATTCTCCAGTCATAGCTTCCGCGGGAATTTCCGTCGCTTTCCTTTTTTATTATTTTTGATCGGAGTAAATATAACTTGCGTGATCCCTTGACTGCTGCGTCTGCACTGTTCTTTCACATACAAACCGATCGAACTGCGCTGAGGCGCTGCGTCTCTATACTTCGTCCGCTCGATAGATCAGTTCTCGCAATGGCGGCTTCGATTATCACTCGGGGATCTAGCTCCCTGGAGTCGCTGACGGGACGCTCTCGTCCCAAGATCCAGATCGACCTTGCCAATCAGACAGAAGGACTGGTCAGCTCGTATACCACCAAGGACCAGATCGAAGGGACCGCGACCATCAGAGTAGACCATGACACGCGCTTTGAGGACGTCGAAATCACATTCGAAGGTGCGACTTCCCTGTCAGCTGCCAGGGTTGTGTGCATTGCTAACAGCCGAGAATAGGAACAGCAAGAACATCGGTCGAGCGGGCAGCCTACCCCGGCCGCACAGGGGCTTATCAGACATTCCTCAAGCTGCGCCAGCCCATCGATGACGCCGCATACCCAACTCCTCGCATTCTTGAGAGTGGACGCTCCTACCAGTTCCCCTTCACCTTTGTCGTCCCCGATCGTCTGCTCCCCCATGTCTGCACCCACTCCAAGACCAACGCCCATGTGGAGCGGTCCCACACCTTGCTGCCCCCAACCCTGGGGGACCCCATGCTTGCCAGTAACGGAAAGACCCTGCTGGACGACATGGTGCCCGAGATGTGCCAGATCTCGTACATGATCCGGGTTGTCGTGAACAGCAAGCCCGCCGGTGAGAGCGGCGCGCGCAAGCCCCTCGCCTCGGCGGGAAAGAAAGTGCGCATCATCCCTACCGTCGACGAGGAACCGCCCCTTAACGTCTTCGAGGGCGATGACGTCTACTGCATCCGCAAGGAGAAGGACGTCAAGCGCGGACTCATGCGCGGCAAGCTGGGCCGCTTGGTTGTGGCTGCCTCGCAACCGAAGCCAGTCCAACTGACTGCGCCCCAGTACGAGACAAAGGAGTCTGTCGGGACAGTGGCAACCATCCACCTGCGCTTCGATCCTGTCGGCAACGAAGCGCCGCCCCGGCTCGGCAGCGTCTGGAGTAGACTGCGCGTATCGACATACTACGCCGCTGTCCCCTGGGAAGACTACCCCTCCGCCCTGTCGGCGACCATGTGGGCGCAGGCCGGGAAGAGTGTCTACACTGAGACCGTGCCTCTGTCCACCCTCTGCGTCGCCTCGGCCCAATGGACTAAGCACTCGGTCTCGAGCCCGGTCCGCCGGAGCTCATTGGAGTCTACCTCCTCGTCCGAGTCGCTCACCGGACCCTCTGCCTCTTTCTCGGGGAGCACCTACTACACCGCCTCGGTGGTGGTGCCGGTCTCCCTTCCCGCGTCCAAGGCCTTTGTTCCGACCTTCTACTCCTGCCTCATCTCCCGCATGTACACCCTCGACCTGAGTATCTCGTACCACACTCCCAACGCCAATATCCTGACTCCCACCGCCTCCCTTCGCGTTCCACTTCAGCTCACCTGCCAGCCCAAGGCCGATACGCGCCCCAAGTACGGGGTCCACGAAATCACCCTGGAAGAGGTGGACGCCGAGTTCTTCAGCCCTCGCAACGTTGCGCCCCCGTCCATCACCTCCTACGAGTCGTTTCCTCTGGCGCAGTCGAACCACATCGCGCCCCCGCCGGAGTATACCGCCATCCGGGCGCCGTTGCTGGCGAGCGAGCAACCCCGGCGAGTTGCCGCTGGTTGATGATTGGAAAGCTGTGATATGATGAACATTACTAATTGCATGGCGTTTTTGATTGCTTGTATGATATACCCATTGACATCTTGATACCATAGATTGGTGTTTCTTTCAAAAGTTTGGGCGCTCCCATGGCATTGTTATCAGATTGGTTTATGTCGGATATTTTGCTTTGTATTCTTATAATAATATAATCTCATATCATATTATCTGACAATCCTGTCGTCCTTGGAGTAAGTAGGGAGCCTGTTAGCTTCGACAGAACGCTACCAAACTTTTCTACATTGTCACATCGTCAACAGTAACCACCATATATCGCCTGTAATAATGCCATAAAGAAGCAAAGGAATATATTGACAGTAGTTCTTCGAAGCAAAAAGAAGAATATGACAAGGGTGGGATTCGAACCCACGCCCCTTGCGAGACACGGAAACCGATGAATCAGTTTATAGGTCCAGTTCCTGAACCGTGCTCCTTAGACCACTCGGACACCTTGCCATTAGGTAATTGAATCTTCCATTTTATGCTATATTAGCCTGCATCGTGGTCTTATTCCTCCTGACCCTTAATGCTCATACTTCGTAGAGTATTTCCACTTGGGAACAATAACGCTCAGGAGTTAGGACGCATCTAGTCTCTATTCTGAAAGATCAACCTGGTCACGCACAATTTCTTGCCTGTCAAATTCTGACATGTTCTTTCTATTGTGTGTAGCCTTACACTGTGCGCGTGCTCCTGGTTGAATATACACATCCGGAGTGAGCTAAGTGCTATTGTTCATCAAAAACCCCTGGTGCTCAGCTCTTCTCCTCCCGTTTGGAAAAATAGCTTCGACGTTCTCGCTTCAAGAATCTAGTTATGAATGCTGAGATGGTCATCTCATCTATTTAAATGCTGCTGTCCACTTCGTGGTTAGTCCTTACGGTGGGAGAAGTGAGAGACTCTGTGAGCCATGCTGAAACCAATTAGGCCAGGAACAGCATGTCGGTGGCAGGGAGGCTGAATCTTCGTCATAATTGACGCCCTTTTATCTCATCATCTATCTACAGAGATGAGGGAGATATCTTGCATCGTGGGGTGGATGCTCCTCTGCGTGACCCATGCCCGGATCTTGGGCCATCGAGCGCACCACAGCTGTGCATATGCATGTAAGATAGAGGATTGCAGCAACATGACCTGATTCTCACAGCCCATATAAACGGCTCATTTCCCTGGCTTTGATGCCGACTCACCCGACTCAATGCCATGACGGACACCGCCCAGTTAACCGCTCTGGAGTCCTTCCTCCAGGAGCATTCAACTATCATATATATTCCACCCTCCTCTGCTGACTATCTACCCGCTCGTAAGGTCTGGAACGGCTCCCGCCGCGACAAACCGCTGGCCATTGTCCAGCTGCAGTCCCCTTCGGATGTGGCGTCTCTGATCAGATTCGCCACATCCCAGTCTCTCCTCTTCACACTCCGCTCGGGCGGCCATAACCTGGAAGGCCGATCCATTGTCGACGGGCGCCCTGCTCATCGACCTGCGCGCTCTGAATGCCGTCACCAGCGCACCGGATCGCAAGATGCTGCGGAAAGTATATGGAGATAACG